GTCGTCCTCCGGGAGCCTACCCCCCCCCCCGCGCATTGCATTCCTTGGCATGGGCATTGGATGAACGCACTGTTTTTATCACTAGATCCTTCCCATAACAGCCGATAATAAAGACGATGATAAACAATACTGCATATTTGTAAATGTAGTTGTTTTTTTCCCTTACAAACCGGCAGCTAAATCTTTGTTTGTTTGTTTGTTTGTTTGTTTGTTCGTTTGTTTTTTGTTTTAGTAAGTGTTTTACGGCACTCGCAACTGCATAAGGTCATATAAGCGCCAGGAGATTAGTTTTAGTTTAGTTTTAGTAGAGGTTTTACGGCGCTCGCAACTGCATAAGGCCAGAAGATTAGAGGTGTTACAAGTACAAGAGAGTAACAAACATAAAAAAGAAAAAGGGGAGATAAGGACGATGGTTTTCTACAGGAAAGAAGTTTGTTTGGTTGTTTGGGCAAAGAGAAGCACACTGGCTCAACAATGGTCATTTAGTATTGGGGAAAAAAAGCCAGACAGACTGGCAGACAGAAACAATAGAGGGACATTAAAGACGTAGACCTATCAGTGGCGCCTTTAAACACCCGTGCACAGTCTTTGTTTTATCTGTTTCTGCAAGGCACTTGTAACACAAACATTTCATGTAAATGCCGAAGATTGGTTGGTCGCTTATAAACAAAAGGGGGCTATCCCGCAAAATGCTGTTTTGAGAAAATCGAAAGTAAAATTTTTGGACCCAAGTTTAGTATCTTTAAAAGACAAGGAGAGTTTTCTTTATAACCAAACAAATATACACACCAATGCAAAAAAAAAAAAAATTCTCCTAGAGGTAGGGTAAAGCCCACTCTTGGTGTAGTTCAAGATTTTTGGAAACCCCCAAAATCTGGGTTAGCCCGCTTGTCCTTAAAAGCGACCTTTTATGCTTGGCTAGGGTACTACTTTTTTAGATTAAAAAAAAAAAGAAAGAGAATTATGATACGACATAATGACGTTACATGTTTGAAAGGAAAGAAGGAGCAAACCGCTTGAAAGCACCCGCCAACTACCCACTCAAGCAAAACGTACATTAGATAGTAGATGCCATTACGTGTGAAATAGTTTAGTAAGAGTTTTAGGGGACTAGCAACACAATTAGGCTATATTATTATTATAAGTTCCGCAGATTTGAGTTGAAAGAAATGGGTTTGTTTTTCCCTTCAACTCTGTGATTGTTGAAACAAATCTAAACACCTCCACCGCAACCCCCCCCCCTCCCCCCCCAAACCTCCCCCCCCCCCTAAAAAAATGAAAAAGAATTAAAAATAAGATAAAATGAAATATCTTTTTTAAAAAGTATTAAATTAAAAACCCCTACAAAAATGTATTGATCAAATTGAGAACTAAACCTGGGAAAACTATCCCCTTGTTTATTTGGTAAAAGTTTTAGGGCACTTGCAACTCATTAAGGCCATATTATGAGTGCCGAAGATTACAGGTATTACAAGAAGGTAACAAACACTAGAAAAACAAAACGAAGGATGAGAGATAAGACCGATAGACGTGTTAAAGTAAAGAATCATCAAACCGTACCAGAGCTCCTGCCAAACACCCATTCATTTTTCCCGGGCGTGGGAAGAAAATGAAACCTCGTACAACCGTGTTCGACCTTCATCCACTCAATAACGCAAGCAGAGCATTAGGAAAAGGCCCAGCGTAGCAGTTGATAAAACGAGAGAATTATTAATCAGGGCCCAAAATAGAAACTGTCCCTGTCACAAGACGGTGGACAGAAATCGCTTTCCTATCAGACATCTCATTTCCTCGTCTGCTCTTCGAAATGAATTCTGACCTTGGCGCAAAAATTCTGCACGTTCATAAAATGTGAGGTACCGTGGTGGAATCAGGCTCTCGTCAAAATAATCAAAGTGAAGAAACTTGCACTTTTCTGCGGATTTGTGAATTTTAATCAAATTGTTGATTTTGGGCTCAACACCTTTAATGCTCATTAAAAAACTCATTTCTGTGTTGATTTTTCTGAAAAGCGTTGATTAAAGGCACAAAAGATGTATATTTTCAATTACCACGGACTCTTAAGCTAAGGAGATAAGTAATCTTTGGCGGCCATTTTCTCACTAATTTTACCTCTGAAAACAGGTGACCCCCACCTCCTTCTTTCGCAAATATCTCGACTTGTATTTAAGATAAACGGATATTTTTTTCATGCAAATAAAGACCAGTGAACAAACTTTAAGATGATACCAATAACTCGATGTACATAAAAAATTGACGAGAGCCTGATTCCACCACGATGCCTCACAAATGTAGAGAAAAGACGTCTCGTCTCGTTCCTCCCTTCTTTCGGGACTGGGAAGGAAGGACAGAAGGAAGGAAAAAAGGAAGGAAGGAAGGAAGGAAAGAAAGAATGAAGCCTCCTGGGAGAAAACTTGCCATAAATCGTTGTCGAATTATTATCCCCCCCAAAAATGAGACAGACGGCGGAGTCCCTCGGGGAAAGAAAAACAATATGCAAAAACAAACACAAAACAAAAAAAGCAACAAAGCAAAAGCAAGAAAAAATTATACCCAAGCTGACGTCATCCCTTTTTGTGCATTACAATAATTTGTGGTCCAGACATTCGGAGCGCGCTCATATGACCTTAGCAGTTGCGAGCGCCGTAAAACCTTATACTACTACTAGACATTCGGTGTTAATGGGTCACTGTTAGTGCATTGTTCTTTCCTTTTTAGTTTTGTTAAGAGTTTTACGTCTCTTGTTTAGTTTTAGTAAGTGTTTTACGGCACTAGCAACACAATTCGTTCATATAGGTGACGAAGATTAGAGGTGTTACAAGAGAGTAACAAACATAAACAAGAAAGAGGGAGATAAAGACGATAGATGTTTGATAAGAAAGAAGAAGAAGCAAACCACACCAGAGCACCCGCCAACCACCCATCTTAAAAGTTTTACGGCACTAGCAATACAATAAGCTCATATAGGTGGCGAAGATTAGAGGTGTTACAAGAGAGTAACAAACATAAAAAAATGAGTGGATGGAGATAAATACGATCGATGTTTGTTGATAGGAAAGAAGAAGCAAACTACACCAGAGTACCCGCCAACCACCCACTCGTCACTTGCAACACAGTAAGGTCATATAAGTGTCCAAGATTAAAGGTGTCACGGAGAGAGTTACAAACACATACTATTTTATAAGGAGGAGAGTTTTAGTTTTAGTAAGAATTTTACGGCACTTGCAACACAATAAGGTCGTATAAGTGCCGAAGAATAGAGGTGTTACAAGAGAGTGACAAACACACAAAAGAAGGAGGAGAGATGAGGACAATAGATGTTTGATAGGAAAGAAGGAGCAAACCACATCAGAGCACCCGCCAACCACCCACTAAGGAGGAGAGATACAGCGATGGATGCATGAGAGGAAAGAAGCAGGAGCAAAGCTCACCAGAACACCCGCCAACCACCTACATGTATTGTTCGTAAGGAGTGGGGAGAGATAGGAAAATAGAGAGAAACAGAGGGGGACATAGATAGATAGATAGATAGATAGATAAATAGATAGATAGATAGATAGATAGATAGATAGATAGATAGATAGATAGATAGATAGATAGAAATAATTTTAAAAAACAACAACGGTCAGACCTTAAAAACAGTCCAGCAGACAGACAGACAGACAGACAGACAAACAGACAGACCAACAGACAGACAAACAGACAGACAGACAGACAGATAATTTAGACAGGCAGACAGACAGAGAAATAGGTAAAGCAGACAGTGGGCGCTTTAATTTACAAGACAGTAATTGTCGCTGCCGTAGTTAAGACTGTCTTAAGCTGAGCGCCGCCACAATAACAAGACAGAGGCGGGAAGAAAGATGTCGTGCAACAGTAATTACCCGCCAATTTTACGCCTAAAGATTCTTGATATTTTTTTTTTCAATGAACAGACTGAAACGTTTTGCTTAAGGTAGACATTGGTTGGTTTTTATGTGATAATAAAAACAACAACAACTAACAAAAAACAAACAAATTTAACAAAAATACTCGTATAATCACATTACCCCTCCCAAAACAACACCCAAAACATTAAGATAACAACAAAAACCAAAAACACCAAACAAGCAAACAAACAAAAATCTCCCCCCCCCTCCCCCCACATAAAGAAAAAAGAAAAAGAAAGCAAAAACAAACCAAAAAAACACCCAAAAACAACCCCAACTAGATCTAGACAGAAACCTCCACCTTAACCTTTTTCTTTTTTGTTTAGAGAAAAGGTGCTTTCTCAATTATAATCGGTGCTCGCTTCACAAGCTCGCTGTTCTTAGACTGTTCACAGCTTCACTTGTGAGTGCCTTCTATCTGTCTGCACGTGGGTTCTATATTATAGTTCTCAACATACAATTTATTTTATTAAAATTGTTGTCTGTGTGGTGTAGCGATTTGACGCTTTGCTGTTGTACAATGGAGACCCGAGTTTTATTCTTCCCAAAGTGGCAAGAATCTTTATCGAGTATCTCGGTTTTTTCTACTGGAATGTTGTGTCCATTTTAGCCAGAGTTAAATTGGAGGTTTTACAAGATAGTGACAAACACATACTAGAAGGATGAGAGATAAGGAATATAAATATGTTTTGATAGGACCAACCACGCATGAGCACCAGACAACCACCCATTGCCGTAGTAAAGTTGTAAACACCCCACCCCAAACCCATAGTCCACCTCCGATATTTCCCACCAGCCCACAAAAATCAGGGCTCTGCACAAAGGCGACCAGCAACGGTATATTTGTGAAATCGTTCTTTATTGATCTACATTGTAATTTTGCGGATCCATGTAGGACTTTATAATAAAATAATAAAAGATTATTATTATAATATATTAAAATGTATGTGTGTATGTATTTATAATTATGTATTTACGTATGCGTATACTTGCCATTGTAACCTAAAATTCCACACGGGAGGAATAATAGTATGTAACTATTTTTTTCCAACATTCTCTCCTCCTCCTCACCTGACTCGGTGGACGCCGCAGAGCAAGCCTTCTTCCCATCTTTATCTCCTGCCGCCCTGTCCACAGACAGAGACCACGCCGTTCCGGATCGCTTGATCTTGAAGTGTGCACTCACCCCCAGACTCTGCCCGGATTTACTCACGTAGACGTACTGATAGCTCTGTCTCTTGCTCTCTACAGCCTTTGAGAAGAAATGAAAAAAAATAAGAAAAAAAAAGAACAGGAAAAGTGATCAATTTTTCTGATGTCAAGATTATGAGGCAGCGTGGTGGAATCAGGCTCTCGTCAACTTTTGGGCATGTAGAGTTATTGTATCATCTTAATGCTTGTTCACTTGTTATTATTTTGATGAAAAATTATCCATTTATCTTGAATACAATTCTGTTTTCATAGGTAAAATTATTGAGAAAATGGTGGCCAAAGATTAGTCATTCCCTTATTTGAAGAGTCCATGGTAACTGAAAATTTACGTATTTTGTGCCTTTAATCAACCTTTTTCAGAAAAATCCACACAGAAATGAGTTCTTTAATTGGGCATGAAAGGTGTTGAGCCAAAAAACAAAAATTTGATAAAAATTCACAAACCTGTGGAAAAATGCAAGTTTTTTCAATTTGATTATTTTGACGAGAGCCTGATTCCACCACGCTGCCTCACGTATTATTTCTCAGCCTCTTGCTCTGTAGAGCCTTTGAGGAGAGATATAAAAAAAAAGAAAAGAACGAGTAGTAGTTATCTATTTTTCTGAAGTCCTTATATTCCTCAGTCTCTTGGGTAATTTTTCGTACGTTTTCTCTTGAATGCGTTCAGGGCGGATTCGATACTGGAGTCAGTTCTGTGGCAGGCAGTATGCTACGTATCATGTTGCTAATTTCGTGACAGATTTGTATTTAAAAAGATGCTGATGGCCTTCATTAAAAAAGAAAAGAAAATCTGCTTCCACGCTTCCAGGAACTTTTTTTTCTTGCGAACTTACCAAACGAAGAAAATTATCTCTTAGTTTCTTAATTAGACTGGTGATGTTTAGGTTTTTTTCTCTCAATATTTTTACTCAATGTCTTCTGCACAGTCAGTGAAAGAATAGCTTGTTTTTGTTTTCTTGGTAAGTGTTTTACGGTCATAACTGCCTAAGAGTATATGAGCGCACGGGAAACCTTAGACATTTTCAGTTTGAAAGGAATTAATTTTTAATTTGCCCAGGTGACAAATTTTCCACAAAAATCAATAAAAGAGAAATTCCTAAAATAACGACGTTATCAACAAGACACGAGGCCATTGTTAAAGAAGGAAAGATGTGGGGCAGGAGAGCCAGAGGAAGACAAAAAATAACATCGATGAACAACATAAGAACATGGACTGGGCTGGATATGGCAGAATGCGCAACGGCAGCTCGCCACCGTGAAAGATTTGAGGGTCATTACATGTCAGCCTCTAAGTCAGAGATGACACCTCCAGGTATCCAGGTATCCTGGTATCCAGGTTATCAACAAGAGCAACAACAACAGACTCACAGTGAAGGCACTAGCTGGGAAGTTGGCCATTCTCAGCTTTGGTCTCCGCCTGTCTGCTGACGTCACAGGAGCCCATTGGAAGGCCAGGGGCCGACTGAGGTCACGCCAGTCACTGCGGAAGATCCCGATCCAGTCCAGGGGCGAGGCTGTGACGTCATGGCCCAGCTGGTAGCGGACTGTCACGACGTCGGTGTCGGGTGGGTGCGCGTGGGACACATCGTGAAATGTCACCAGCTCCTGAAATTATACAATTACAGAATCTGAAATTATACTATTATAGATTCTGAAATTAGACAATTACAGCTTCTAAAATTATACAATTACAGCTCCTGAAATCATACAAGTAGAGATTTTGAAATTATAAAATTACAGCTCCTGAAATTATACAATTACCGCTCCTGAATCATACTGTTCTTCTCTTTCCTTATCTTTCTCTAAACATGGAACACCGATTATTGAGAAAGCAGCTTTTCTCTAAAGAAGGATAAGGTGGATGTTTCTGTCTAGTTTTTCTTATTTAGAAAAAAAAATGCACCAGAAGGCCACCCAAGCTTAATGTTTTAGCTTGAATTTTGCGGCACTTGCAACAGAATAAGGTCGTATGAGTGCCGAAGATTTGAGGTGTTAAAATAGATAAGCAAAACACACAAAAAAGAGAGAGGAGAGACAAGAACGACGGATGTTTCAGAGAAAAAAGGATCCTATTATTATTGCCTATCTTTTAGATACATGTAAAATATCTGCGCCTAACATTTGTTATTCCAAATTCCAACTCCGTTGGGTTTGCTCCTTCTTTCCCACCTGTCAAACATCTTTAGACCTCATCTCTCCTCTTCCTTTTTTTGTGTTAGTTTTGTTTGGTGTTTGTTACTCTCTTATAACACCTTTAACTTTCCGCTCTTATATGCCCTTATCGTGTTGCATGCTTGGCAAAACACTTACGAATACTAAAAACTAAAACTAGATTTAGTCCGTCGCGGTACAAATCGATCACAAAGCTGGCTCCTCTAGCCATTCCTCACGTTCTTGCAATTCCCGCGCAAATGAGACCCTGAGAGGGGAGATAATTACTCATCAAGGTTAGCCAGGCTCATCCGATGTGATTACCACTCACACCCACAGCAAGGGAATGTCTCCGCTAGGGGTCACTCGGAAAACCGACTGGTCAGGGTAGCAGAGTATTGTACATAGCTCGTCCTCATTCATTCCACGCGCATTCATATTTGAGAGCGGACGGAGGATGTGCTGATGGAATTGATGAGTTTGTGCCAGCGTTAAGAATCGAGGAACCTGCAGCTTTTGGTACTTCTCGGTCGTCCCAATTCCACAATACGCCAAGACTAAGGAAATGTAGTGCAAGTACAAGAAAAGAGAATAAAACTAAGGGGGGGGGGGGGAAGTAATGAACAGAGATCTAGCATGATTAATGCATTTTCGCCCAGTTGGTGCAAAATAAATGATGGAATTGATGAGTTTGCCCCAGCGTTAAGAATAGCGGAGCCTGTGACTTTTGGTACTTCTAGGTCGTCGTCCCAATTAAAGATGGCGCCTAGAATATGGGAATGTAGGGATAAAGTGCAAGAAAAAAAAAGAAGAAAACTAAGAAGAAAGTAATGAACAGAGATCTAGCATGATTAATGAATTCTTGCGTAGTTTGTGCAAAACATGTTTAAGATTCTTTTTTTTTTTACCCCTTTGACGCTTTCCATTCCAGTCATCAATACTTATTAGTATTATTATTTTTTTTTTTGGGGGGAGGGGAGAGGGATGGGGTGCATTAAAAAAAGCACAACTTCGTTAATCATACAGATTTGATTTGTTATATTATTATTCTCTTTTCTTTATCTGAAAATTTTAAAAAAGCAGATAACAACATGCATACAGAGTGGTTTGAAATATCTCACATTGCCTTTGGTCTGTTGTTGGTCGGGCAAACGTCGTTGAATTATAAAGTTCTATTTGACATTCATTTTTTGGCCGTTTTGAGTTACTAAGACCATGGCATCCGAAACCAAATATTATTCTCTCTGCTTTTTTAAAATCGTAAGATTATTCGGGGTCGTTATCAATTCAAAGAACGGGTCTTGAAAAAGCTTGTCATATGTGAGGCAGCGTGGTGGAATCAGGCTCTCGTCAGTTTTTTAGCTTGTGGAGTTATTGGTATCATCTTAAAGCTTATTCACTTGTCTTTATTTGGATGAACAAAATATCCAGTTATCTTTAATAAAAGTCGAGATATTTGTGAATGAAGGAGGTGGGGGTCACCTGTTTTCAGAGGTAAAATTAGTGAAAAAATGGCCGCCACAGATTAGTTATTTCCTTAGCTTAAGAGTCCGTGGTAACTGAAAATTTACATTTTTGTGCCTTTAATCAACGCTTTTCAGAAAAATCCACACAGAAATGAGTTCTTAAATAGACACAACAGATGTTCAGCCAATAAACAAATATTTTATAAAAATTCACAAACCTGCGGAAAAATGCAAGTTTCTTCACTTTGATTATTTTGACGAGAGTCTGATTTCACCACGCTGCCTCTTATTGTGAAATTCAAAATCTTTGACGTCAAATTTCTCAAAACGCGGTACTGAGCAGATAGCTTTGCAATCCTGAGGTTGAGATGTCTCTGCTAGGTTCTTTAACCCTATCTGTACGTCGTGTCTTACTATTGCACCCATACGACGTGGGGAACTCTGTGCCACCACTTAACCCTACCCGTACGTTGTGTTTTACTGTCGCATCCATACGAACTCTGTGCCACCACTTAACCCTATCCGTACGTTGTGTTTTACTGTCGCATCCATACGAACTCTGTGCCACCACTCTCCGAAGGGGAAATTTATTCGTTAATCCTATCCGTACGCTTTGCATAGCAGTCTTTCAAAATGATTTTTTGGAGAAACACTGAACGTTTCAAAGACATTTTCCGACTAGAAGTATTCTAAAATGTGAAGAATCCAACCCCTGGGGTACAAAATAACCCCTGGGCGTACGGATAGGGTTAAGAGCTAAAGGTCTGGGACATCACTGCCTCAGTTGTCTCAAGTTGTGGCGTCGGTGGCTTAGTGGTTAGGTTCTCAGACTCGCAAACGTAAAGTTGTGGGTTCGAATCCCGTCAGGGGCTCGACGTTGTGTCCTTGGGAAAGGCACTTTGCACAGATTTTCCTCACTTCACCCAGGTGGAAATGGATACCCGGCTATAGACAGTGAGCGATCTTGTCAGTTTGATAGCGTATAAGCGCGGGAAATCCGCAGCTTGCACTGTGTGCTTCTGCGGAAGCCTAGAATGTTTCTGAGTGTTCTCAGAGGGTCTGCTGGGGTATAGTAGTCGTAAAGCGCATTGAGCAAGCTCTTGAGCATGGACATGCGCTATTATAAATGCCATTATTATTATTATTATTATTATTATTGTTATTATTATTATTATTATTATTATTATTATTATTATTATTATTATTATTATTATTATTATTATTATTATTATTAAGTCTACTCACCGCCTCGGCAGCCAGCTCCTCAATGTCGAGAGACGCATGATCTTCCCGCATTGTAGGATGTTCCGAGGGCAGACTCTGGTTTCGTTGACGATCGGTTGAGTGTAGTATGTGTCGGCCTGGACGTTTGGAGAAGGGGTGTCTGGAAACAGAAACAGGGCGGGGATCGAGGTAAAAATAAGAGGCATAACGCGGTGAAATCAGGTGCTCGTCAAAATAATGAAATCACAGGAACCAGAGTATTCTTCCCGCGCCGATTTGACAACTTTTATCAACCGTTTTTTAATTTTTGGTTGAAAAATTTGATTTCATTTAATATCTAGATCTAGATTTTATACGTGGATGTTAACTGAAAAACGTTAATAATCATCTACAGAATCGCACTTTCTCAAAAATTAAACAAAAATAAACATTAACAGACCCAAAACCCCCCACAAAAATCTTCAAAGCAAACGTACTTGCAATAAGAATGAGGATTATACTGCATATTGTAATAAAGTGAGGAATCCATTATGTGACATTTAGATCTATAGATTTAATATAATATACAATAGTTAGATCTAGAGTCTAGATCTATATCGAACTGTTGTCTACACCTTTAATTTCAGATTCAGCAGTTTATGATATAAATTGACAGGTGTCTGTTGTGTAGTACTTAGATCTAAACTCTTCCCTATCGCATACAGGAGTTCGGAGTTCAATTCGCGAGTGGGGAATTTTTTTAATTCCATCGAAAATATGCTGTTATGCTGGGATGGTGTATCCCTCATAACGTACGTTGACCTTGACAAGCAGGGCTGGGAGTCCTCGTAAACTAGATCGAGATCTACACTGTATAAACGTAGAAATCTAGCCTATAAATACATCTAGATATCTAGATCTAGAGTGGTTGGACCCCATACGAACCATTACCCTAATATGAACCACCCGTCGCTTGTTTCGTTTATGCGGTGAAATGCAAGACAAATTTCGTAGTTTATCCTTTTCGCAAAGGCGTAGCTTTTATCCTTCTTCCATTTCATGTCGGTCGGCTTGTTGATGACGTCTTTGTTTGATCACAGTGCTTCATCAAAGTTGCGAACCGCGGTAAGTTATTGATTCTTTCCGCCATCTTTAGCATTTACTAAGGTTATAACTCAAGAGGTCTAAGGTCATGGATAGTAAAACTAGCACTTCCGGTTGACCTGGATGTAACCAGGGCATGTTAAAGACCTTCATCTATGCTTCTGTGAGGGGGATTTTCCTGGTTCGTTTGAGATTTGGGTGGTAAGAGGGTGGATCGTTTGGGGTATGTTGTGTTTTTATAAGAGAGCTATTAACGGACCAGCTCTTTGTTTTAGTACTCCCTGTTGTTAGAAATTAAACATAATCAGTGGCGGCTCGTGGTATATACAACTGACCGGCCATCATTCACATAGACTCTTTCTTCCTCCCCCCACCCCCTTCCTTCGCAACACACACACACGCACACACACACACACACACACACACACACACACACACTCTCTCTCTCTCACTCTCTCTCTCTCTTTCTCTCTCTCTCTCTCCTCATTTTATACCCCTACTTTCGCCATCCCCACCCCCTCTCACACTCACAAACACACACCACTAAACATTTTAATATAATGTGAAAGAGCTGAAATATGGTAGTGTCAAGAAACAATATTATGATTAATGTATGATGAAAGTTACTGAGTTAATAGAAACTGACTTGAACGGCATAGAAAAAGAAACACTACTAGAGTCTATGCTAGAAAACAAACTGAAAGTGAGAAGCACAATAAACTGCTGGTCATGGCCTCTGGTACTTTAACCAAAGACTTATTTACTTTCTACACAATATTGACGTGCACTCGACCTGTAAATATGTAATAAGAACAGTACTGTATGATGGCGAAAAGTCAATAGATACTGTACCAATGACGCTGTCCCATGCAGATTCTGGATTTCTAGATCTAGGCAAACAGGCAAACTTACATCGATAAAGTAAGACATCATTATCTCTTAGCTACCATTTCAACGCAACTCCTTACGCAGTTTGATATTCAGAAGTCTGTGTGTGTGTCCCTCATGCCACCGTTGCAGTTGGGGAGCCTGGATAGAACCAAAGCTTTCCCATCCCCGAGTGCCAACAGAAAGTGTTGTCGTGTGGGTACAGTGTTAAGGCGGCGTGCAGGTTCCAACCCGCTACGCCCAGCCACGGATGTATCTTTTTTCAAGATGGAGGATAGATGAGGGCGCGGGGAACGTATGACGTCAGAGCAAGCAAGGAGCACTTTTTCAAGAGAAATGCATTTTAGTTTGAGAGTGTTGCTTTTAGATTATAACTTATGGGTGCGTGGAACTTGGAATGGAATCTTATGACGCCATTTTAATATGAAAAATACCAATGTAAAAGGTCATGTAAGTGCCGGAGATTAGAGGGAAAAGAGAGTGCAAATAAATACAAAAAAGGAGGAGGAGAGATAAGGACGACAGCTGATGGTTAATAGGAAAGAAAGAGCAAACCACGCTAGAGCACCCGCCAACCACCCACTTAGAGCATGTTTGGAAGTCTCATGGTTGAAGTCTAGACTACCAGACTTATGATAATTATGAGGTTTGGGGATTAGGGGGTTCAAGCCTCAGGCCCGACATTATGACCTTGCAATATTCCTCACTTCACCCTATCGTTAATGGGTATCCGACCACATAGACTATGATAGATCGTGTCAGTATAGTAGTGTTTAGCACCTGTAAAACGTGAGCTCGCACTGTATGCTTCCCAGGAAATTGAGATTGTTTCAGAATTTGATCTAGGTCTGCTGGGGTAATAACATTAATTATAAAGCACATAACTTAGATGGCGTGAGCATTCTGTTCAGGCAGATAAGACCAATTTCTCTGCCACAATAATTGGTCTCGTGGGCCACAGAAGAAGACAGTCTCGTCAGTGGATGTATTGGTCACCGTCACACATTGACAGGCGAGGTGATATTACAAAGCGCATAAACATGCTGTTCGCTTTGTATAAATGCTATTTAATTTTTATTATTCATTAATTATTTGTTGCAGTGCTGACTGGTTATCAAATACATAGTAGTAACAGAACATTGGTTTCTAAGGAGTCATTAATTATTTGTTGCAGTGCTGACTGGTTATCAAATACATAGTAGTAACAGAACATTGGTTTCTAAGGAGGCTGCTGGAAATTTTGTGGAAGCAAAAGAAATCAACTAAGGTAAATCTGAAAGAAGAAAAAGAAATCAATTAAGGTCAATCTGAAAGAAAGAAAAGAAAACAAATATGGTCAATATGACAGAAGAAAAAAAAATCAACTGAGCTAAATCTGAAAGAACCCCCCGCCAGCTGCTTAAAATAAAAATTTAAAAAAACACACCAAAAAACCATGGGAAAATGAAAACGCAATGTTGAGGACGTTCAAATAGACATGAAGACCTTGAACATCTTTCTCTCAGTGGGAAAAATATAAAGCATATGAGGCAGGGAGTGGACTCAAAGCAATGCATTTTGGGAACCTGAACAGGTGGGGAACGGGAAAAACGAGGATAATAATGTAGATTAGGCATCGTGGTGAAATCAGGCGCTCGTCAAAATAATGAAATCGAAGAAACAGGCACATTTCCTCTTATTTGGCAGTTTTGATCGAATTTTTTTTTTAAAAGGGGAGGGGGGGGGGGGGCTCAACGCCATTCATGCCCATATAAAAGCATATTTCAAAGTGAATTTTACCTAAAAACGTCGATTAAAGGCTTTAATTATTTAATTTTATCATTTTCACGGAATCTCCAGCTATTGAAATGATCAAACTTTGACGGCCATTTTTTCTCTAATTTTATCAATGAAATCAGACGACCTCATCTCCTTCAATTGCAAATTATATCAAGTTCTATTTAAGATAGAAGGGTATTTTTTTTCAGTAAAAGCAAGGCAAATACATCAGCTTTCATATAATACCAATAGATCCACATGTTTCAAAATTGAAGAGCGCCTGATTCCACCGCGTCGTGACAGCAGCATTTTTAGAGAGAGCATCCGGGCAAAGCAATGAATGGAGAACCACAGTCGTCAATTGCTGTTTTAGATCTTGAAGTGTATGGTAATAATTTGTTCTTTATATCCTTTATTTTTGTTGTTGTAATTCAGATTAGAAATAAGCATTTGAATAACACATGTTTTATTACTATTCCAGCCCAACAGCAAGCTCTATAAATTTTACAATATGTGAGGGGCAGCGTGGTGGAATCAGGCTCTCGTCCGTTTTTGGGTATGTAGAGTTATTGGTATCATCTTAAAGCTTGTTCATTTGTCTTTATTTGGATGAAAAAAATATCCGTATAGCTCAAATATAAGCCGATATATTTGTGAAAGGAGGTGGGGGTCACCCGTTTTCAGAGGTAAAATTGGTGAGAAAATGGCCGCCAAAGATGAGTTATTTACTTAGCTTAAGAGTCCGTGGTAACTGAAAATTTACACTTTTTGTGCCTTTAATCAACGTTTTACAGAAAAATCCACACTGAAAAGAGTTTTTTAATGGGCATGAAAGGTGTTGAGCCAAAAAAGAAAAAATTGATAAAAATTCACAAACCGGAAGAAAAATACAAGTTTCTTCACTTTGATTATTTTGACGAGAGCCTGATTCCACCACGCTGCCTCACATATATATTGTCACTCCAGTCTCATTAACTCTATCTTCATCCCCACTTTGACCTACCAGTGCCAGACATGGACTCTGACCAAAAGTCTGGAACGTAAGATAACCACCTGCGAGATGAGATGTCTAAGGAAAGTTGGAAAACAAAACCAGACTGGACATGGTCAGAAACAACAAATCAGAGAAATGATGGGAACAACACCTGTCCTCCACTACATTCGAAGGCAAACAATCAGGTAGGTTTGAACATCTCACACATATGCCACCTCACCAGCTTGACAGTAAAGCCTACTACAGGAAAGTATCAGGGTACAAGGCAAGAGGAAGACCAAGAAAGACCTGGATCAAGGGTGAGAAGTATACCCTGAGAACATACAATATCCCACCCAGCCAGGCCATCAAACCTGCGAGAGACAGGGAGCTCTTTCTCCCCTCAACGCCCTGGAGGTACAAAAAGACGGATACAGTAAAGTAAGTATTGTCAT